CGGCGCCTCGGCGCTGGCAGCCCTCGGGAGCTCGGGCTGGTCCCTGCTGGCAGACAGGCCGGCCGCTATCCCTCCCGCAGGAACGCTTCTGTCCCTCGTTTCTTAAGAGCTGACGGACTCCAGTACTGAAAGTTCAGTATACTCGTAAAAGTTCGCTCTGCTCCCCGGGGGCTCCGAGTAACGCCGCCTCCAACAGCCTTCTGTAGAGCACGAGAGTATCTTTGGGTGGGGAGGGAGCTGGTGGGGGGGGGCTTCGTTTCTCACGGAGCGCAACTTCCCTCTTGCGCAGCGTGGTATTCACCTGCGCGCCGCATGGAAAATCAAATCAGCTGGAGTAGCTTTGCTAATGAAAAGTTCCTAACATCAGCATTATCGTGTCGGAAGAGAAGGGGCGGCATGACAGTCAACTCAATGGTTCCCAGAGTTAGTATTTTTCTCCCAGGTACACCTTCCAATGGACGCTTCGAAGAAGCTTCCATGCACTAAACGGGTAGAGGCAGCCACAAGAAGCGGCTTCTTAACTGACAATCCATAGTGTGTGTCTTAGATGTCAAATGTTGGCTTACACTCTTTAATCACCTTCAATAACATTGTCTAATTGCAAGTGTCTGGATTTTGCCTCCCTAGATGCCTGCACAAATGCAATTCAGTTCCTAACAGCACTTGGTGTCCTTGTTCTGGAGAGAAAAAAAATAAAGTAATGCTGTCTTGGGGGAGACAGCATTTGGGTCGAACCTAACTGATTTTGCGCAACCTAATGTGAACAGAAATGTCCCCACTCTAAAATTTCCACCGAAAAAAGAGCTGTTCAGAAAGAACTAAGCCTTGTGCTGCAGTTTACAATGCTGCAGCAGGGAAAACACAGAAGTAAAAGTGGATTTAGTGATTTTAATGTGCTACCAAAGGGCTTGTCCACACTGGAAAGTGATACTGATAAAATTACATCTGCATTGTAAAACCTGCGAAGTTTATCTCCTGAGGTAGAACATCTCTTTCTGAAATCAGAGGATTGTCATTACAATTACAGCACGTTAACTCAAGTTCTTTTTTTAAAAAAAAAAAAAAGTCCAAAACCTTAAACTGAAGAAACCCTTAAATTTTCATATACTGAAATGACATTCCCTTTAAAAGAATTCTCTATTCAAATTTTTTACTGCTGCTTTTTCCCCAAGTTTACAAGACCAAAAGAATGTATATAGAAACCTAAAACTATAAATGGGAAAACGCAAATTGGATTAGTAATGCTATTTTGCCTTTAACCCATCTACTGCAAAATGGCAAACAAAATATGACGTCCTTTTAATATAAGCTGTAACAGCACCATGGACCCAGACGAACGTTAGAGCATCACACTAAATATCTGATCAATTGTATACGTGTTTTCTAGTAGTTAAATATATTTTTCATTAATTCTTTTGTTTGCTTGTTTGCTTTCAAAAATATCAAACGCCAGCTATCACGGTACGCTTATTATATAATCCATGCATTATGATATCCACATATAGTTATCTGTACCTAGCCATACATGATTTTGCCTCTGTAATCAAAATATTTCCAACACGTCCAGAATATTCAGATTGGCAGGAGGCTGGCTAAAGGGGATCGTTCCCGAGTAGGTGACCGACGTCAGTGAGCAGAACTACAGAATCCTCTAAAAGAGAGTTTGGAATTAAGATTGTTTGAATAGCGGGGGAAAAAAAAAACCCTAGATATCATTAGGCAGATGCAACAGAGTTTACCTCCCTACAGAGCACAGCTATTAGCGGACAGCAGGAGGACCTAGCCTTCCATTTTCCAGTGCTGCCTTCCGGCAGTGCCCCGTTAGCCATACCAAACCCCGATAGTCACCACCCAACTGCAGATGATCTCTGTCAGCCATCTATAAACTTGGCCTTCTTTCTTTATGCGCCTGACAAAACTTCCCTCTTCCCCCCCCCCCCCCCCCCCCGTTTGTAAAAACAAGAGTAGGCTTATGTCAGCAAAATACTCTTCAAGGCCTCGGAAGATAACGTGCTATTAATATTCCACTTAAGAAAATACTTGTAGACACCCAGGAGCTGCGAGCATGGTTTGTACAGCCCGTTCAGGATGCCCAGTGAAAGGAACGGCAGAGTGGTGAAAGCTGGAGGAAGCGTTTTTCCCTTCGGGAAAAAAAAATACAGAACCTTCATAGGTATTTAAATTTGAGCGCAGTGCATATATTGATTCAAATGTAGAGTAGTTGAAATTGCATTTATTATACCATTAGGAAATGATATATTCTGAGTACTTGTTAGGCAGTCTCTGCGTGTACTGAGACCGTAAAATTAACTCAATTAAACATGTGCAGAGAGGATGGCTTTCGTTGAAGGCTCGTCAGCGGTTATCTGCAGTCAAGGCAGGGGCTGGTAAACATGCCCTTTTCTAGTTGTTTCAAATCAGGCTGACATCTAACCTTTCTGTTCCTGAGACATACATATTTGTCACACAAACCTAAGTCCAAGAAGACAGCAGCTGTATAAAGTTAAGTGCAGCTG